GGGGGGGTGTAATTAGGTTATTTATTTATTTATTTTAATGGAGGTACTGGGGATTGAACCCAGGACCTTGTGCATGCTAAGCACACACTCTGCCACTGAGCTGTAGCCTCCCCCCGTAATTCCCTCTTGAGAGACCGTGTCTCCAAAGTCACATTCTGAATATTAGGATTTCAACACACGAATTTTGGGGACACACTACTCAGTCCGTAAGACAGAGCAGAAGCCAGATGGGGAGCCTGGACGAAACACTTGCAAACATGGGTCTAAGGGCCACGATTCCTTCTCCCCGTGAGCTGCTGGGGTGCCCTGCCACCTCTGCTGTCCCTGCTCTTCTTCAGCTCCCGGGACTTGGTGCCACCCCTACCCCCAGCCCATCGGCCGTCACACCCTTTCTTTGGCGACATTAACTATTTCCGGTCACGTTACATCAAGTCCTGAGGCTCAGAATCTCCTTCCTGGGGACTTTGCCTATCTCTGCTCTCATCCACTAAGAGATCCAATCAAAGTTTAATTCTTAGAGGCCACTCTGGGGGAAAAAGAAAAACTTTATTATAAAAGTAACATGAGCTGGTTTTAGAAGGAAAGAAAAACCACCAAGAAATACATGAAAATAAAGCAAAAGACTTCTCATCTCCCCGACACTCCCCTCCGTCTTCCTGCACTGCCAGCTTCACTCCCAGGAGGGAGCCACTGCGTAGGCTGTGTTTCCTTCCCTGTGGTGGTCACTGACCTAGTCTGTTGACAAGGATGAGGTGTCATTGACACTAGGCTGCCACAAAACTAATTCATTAGCACTCGGACCCCCTGCCGGCTCACCACCTACTAGGCTGAGTGCTGTGGTTCATCCTTCCAGGACCCTAGGAGGTGGTCCCAGCATTATCCCATTTTTCGGATGGGCAGCCTCCACCTTAGAGAGTGGTCCGGTAATGCGCTCACAGGCACCGAGCCGGGACATGATTAAGCCGGACCTGTTGGCTTCAGAGCCGTGTTTGCTGTGGTTACTCATCATTAGATCGTGAACACTTCTCCATTAACACTGTATGTAGAGCCTGAGTTCACTTTTTCATAATCTTGACATTGTGTTTTCCTGTAGAGTTTTTTTTTGTTTGTTTAAAGTATAGTCAGTTTACCATATCGTGTCAATTTCTGGTGCCCTGTAGGATTATATCATGATACACTTAAGCGCTCTCCTCTCTTTGGACATCTCTGTCATTTCCATCCATTGCTTTTACAAACAAGCGTACCGAGAATACCCTTGTGCTCTTGAATGCATTGTGTCTGTAGAGAAAATGGAAGGAGTCCGTACTTTTAAAATTTTGATACACTTTGATGTATTTTGATAAGTTGTCAGAAAGCAATCTTATTCCTCAGTTCGTGGGGAAAATCTCCATGTAGTGCCGGAGTAATGTTATAGCTTTAGTAAAACTCAGCCCCTTGGTGCCCCAGGCACCTACTGGCCCTTGATAAAAGCTTTTAATAATAAGGATGACGATTCTGTATAAAATAACCATGAGATGAAAGAAAATAAGCAGTTTGCATGTGGTTATCCCTCTTGGTTATTTAGCATTTGGCTTCTGTTACAAAATAATAATCAATACCCCTTTCCCTTCTGCATGAACGGGGGGAAAAAGTAAATACTTCCATTCTTTCTCTGAACTGCTGCAGACTCATTTTTTTTTTTCTATCAGACTTGAGAATTCACCGTGAGGCCAAAGAGTCTTTTTTTTTTTTCAACTTTCCCTAGCAAATTTCAGTGGATGGCTTTAGGCGTACAGCAAGTTGAGATTTCGGAGGTGGTGGTTAGGGACAGGTGGGGAACCAGAGTCCTGTCTGGGATCTGCCCTGGGTTGGGGGTAAGGGGGATTCTGCAGGCAAGAGACTGCCCTGGGGCGCCCTGGGAAGTCCAGCCTGTCACCTCTTGGCACCTTGCGTCATTCAGAGAGCAGATCCCAAGGCAGGCATAGGTGAGTGACAATGGGACAGACCTCTGAAGGCTTCTCTCTGGGCAAGAGCAGAGCTGAACGGTTTTACTGGAGACCTGGGAAGCAGGGGCCCGTGGATGAAGAAGGTTGATGAGTGGTACCGTGGTGATGGTTTTCTTTAAAACCCAGCAAATCAATTCATTTATGAGCCTGTGACCGTGACAGGATGCGTTTCTGTGGCTGGTGCTTCCAGAGTCTCAGCTGTCCTCTCAGGCTTTTATGCAGGCGCTCCTTGACACAAGATCCCCGATCTCCGTATCAGAACGTTCCTTTCATCGCCTGGCTGTGAAAGGGGCTGCTATTGTCCCTCAGTTTTTGTTGGTAGGTGACCCTCTGAACTAAAGACTGTGCTTCCCAGCCTTTCTTCCGCTCGGTGTGGCCGACAAAGTAAAGTCTGGGCCGGTGGGATCTGACAGCGGATGCTGGGTATGACTTCTGAGAAAAGGTCCTTATGAGAACGCTGTTTTCTCTCGCTGTTGATGAGAATGCGAATATAAGAGGTGAAGCCTGAACAGAAATTTGGCGCTGTTGTGGCAAGAGCATCATCTCGAGAAGCAAGAAGCAGGAGGAGCCCGATGGAAACCTCTGGGTCAGAGAGAGATACGTGGTCCGTTCGTATGTGCAAATTCTAATACTTCAATTAAACAACAAAAAAGAGGAACATCAGACAGTTTAAAAAAGAGAGCGAGGGAGAGACGTTTCTGTATTGCTTCAGCCGTATTGTTTTGGCTTTTGGCTGTTCTTGGATAAACTGAATTGTAACAGATACATCTGCTGTCTGCGTCCCAGGCATTGTTTCATGTGTCTTAGGTAGGTCGTCTTATGACTCTTTATTACTGTCCATATTTTAACAGATGAGGAAACTGAAACTTAAAGACGAGAAGTTATAAGCGATGTGTCCAATAGGACACACTTGGTGTATTCCCGGGTTTTAACCTGCCTGACTCCACACCTGTACTTGTGTTAATCTCTGTACTTTCCAGAAGGGATTCAGATATTCATTTCGCAATTCACACTGGTTACCTCCCAGTGGGAATGTGGCAGGCACTGTGCTTGGCGCGGGGGACACAAAAGTAAGCCAGGACAGATGATTCTTGGGGCTTGTGTGTCTTCTAGTGGAGAAGAAAGATAAAATCCATCAAGCTAAATAAAATTGTAAGCAGGATGAGTCCTGTGAAGGAATGGGACCCAGTGTGGTAAGAGAAAGCAACAGCGGGTGCAGTATGAACCTAGACGACTGACCTACTGGAGGTCTGCAGAGTCTGGGGACACTCTCCCAAGTGAGCAGCATTTGAGATGAGATCTGAAGGGAGGCGGAGGGCGTGTTGGAAGGACTAAAGGCTCACAGCGCGGAGCTCGGTAAGAGCGAGAGGCGTGGCTTAGAATGAAGCTTGGAGAGGGTGGTTATGCAGGGAATTGCAGGACATGTTCAAGATTTGGGGCTTGCGGGGAGGGTGTAGCTCAGTGGTAGAGCGCATGCCTAGCATGCACAACGTCCTGGGTTCAATCCCCGGCACCTCCATTAAAAATAAATAAATAAATAAATAAATAAATAAATAAATAAGTAAGTAAGTAAGTAAGTAAGTAAATAATTACCTCCCTCCCTCAAATAAACCCCAAAAATAAAAAAGATAAGAAATTAAAAAATTTTAAAAAACAAAATAAATAATAAAAATAAAAATAGAATCTTCCTCTAAAAATAAACAAATAAATAAATAAACCTAATTCCCCCCACCCCAAACCAAACCAACCAAAGATTTGGGGCTTTATCCTCAGCGAGATGGAGGCCTCTCTAATGGTTTTAATGGACAGGTGACAGGGTCAAGGTCGTACTCTGAAATGATCATCCTGGTTGCTCTGTAGAGAATGGACTGGAGAGACAGAGGAAGTGCCTCTGGGAGGTTCTTATAATAGTCCAGGGAAAACGTTTCTGGTGGCTTTGACTAGGGGGGTGGCAGTGAGGATGGAAAGAACTGAAGGGTGCTGAGTGACATTTGGGAGGCAAGACTGAAGGGATATGATGTAGACTTGCCTTTGGGGGATGTGAGAGAGGAGTTCGCAAGAACTTCTAGGTTTCCAGCTTGTGTAACTGGATGGGAGAATGATGGCTTTACTTAACCAAGGGACCACCAGGAGAAGAGCTGGCTTGGGGTAATTAGAGGGTGTCTGCCCAGCAAACCCTGTGCCCTCTTCCGTTGAAGAACTGTCAATCCAATCATGATGTTTGGTTATCTTTTCCTTAAGAAAAACCCACCTCCCCGGCTGTAGCACACAGTGCTTGGCAAGACAGCGTGGTTGGGGCAGGTATTGGCTGAGTGACCAACGTTTGCACAGTGAGATTCCTTTCTGTGCGAAATTGGAGGTGACGGTGAAGGTGACTTGCCTTAGGGGTCTTGGAGCAGGAAGGATGGAGTCCTACAGATGTTTCTGCCGAGGGGGATGGTTCCTGCCTACGGAGAAAGCTGGTTTTCAGTGACAGAGAAAAGAGTTAGGTGGCCGTTAATAGAGACGAGAGATGGTGAGGGAGACCTTATTTTGTTGTTTAAATTCCTGAATCCAAGCATGCCCAAGACCAGCTCTGTCCAAGAGCGTTTGAGCCAATACATTTCCTTCTAGTGTCTTAGCTCAGCTTGAGGTAGGTTTCTGATACCTTCATCTGGATGCTAATTAGCCAGGGGAGGTAATGAGTTCAGTTTCAAAAATGTTGACTTCCAGATGGTTTTGTGACATCTCTATATAGGTATCAAACAGGTAGTCAGATGTATGTATCTGAGCTCAGAGGAGAGGACCGGGCTAGAAGTTACAAATTTGAGAGTTATCAACAGAAGGGTGTTTTGTGGTTGTTTTGATTGGCATTTCTTTAATAATTAGCGATGTTGAGCATCTTTTCATGTGCTTGTTAGTCATTTGTATGTCTTCTTTGGAAAAATGTCTGTTCAGGTCTTCTGCCCATTTTTCGATCAAATTGCCTTTTTTTTTTTGTTAACATTGAGCTATATGAGCTGCTTATATATTTTGGAAATTAACTCTGTGTCAGTCTTATGATCTGCAAATATTTGCTTCCGTTCTGTAAATCAACTATACTCCAAAAAAAGAAAGAAAATGCAAGTTTTATGGTACTAAGACTTTTAAAAGGAAAGAGTGATCAACCACATTGAATGTCACTAGGAGATTTTCTATACTGAAGTCTGTAAAAATGTTCATTTGACTTAGACAAAGCTTGAGGAAGAGTTGACTTTTTAAGATGTATCATTGCATTCTGAGAGCTGAGAAATGCCAGATCCCACATCAAAGATACCTCTGAAAGTTCAGAAAGATAGAAATGGGTCAGCATGGAGTTTCAGTTCCTGGGAACTTGGGGAGGCGAGTGTGAGGGAAATGAGTCTGTCATTGAACAGATGTTTAAGATACCCCATTCTTTGCCAGGTGCTGTCGATGCCGGGGAGATGGTAAACAGCACGACACTTTTATCCTTGTGGAGCTCAAGTCTAGGTGGGAAGACAGACAAGCAAATGCCAATTGCAGTTTCAGTTAATAAGTGTGCAATGTGTTGCTTTGGATGCTTTGGTCTGTAAGCAAGAGAAAAATGTAACGGACAGTAACTTGGGCTGTTTAGATTTCACTTAGCAAGAAATCTAGATGGGGGGTCCCAGGATAAGTTCAGCCTGTGAAGGATTCAGGCTGTTTACATCCTTCCGTTCTGCCATGTTAGCCCGTTGGACTTTGAACCGTGGGTTGTTGCATCGTGATCTGAAGATGATGGCTGCAGCGCTAGGCATGGTATTCTTGCATGAGAGTATGGGAAGGAGGAAGGGAGGAAAAGTGACACAAAGGCTTCTGCAGGCAGCCCTTGCCTTTCATCAGGGGGAAGATTCCTTCTACAACACCCTAGCGTATTTCCTCTTCAACCACTGACCACAAATGGGTCATATTCATATATTTATAAAAATAATCTGTTCAGTCACTGCGCCCTGCCAGGCACTGCTGTAGGTATGGGGTAGACACAGTGCGTAAAACAAGGGAGCTCCCAAGGGAAGTGACCCTTAAGATGAGAAGGGGTTTGCCATTTAGGCTAAGAGCCAGTAGGAAGGGAAGAGTGTCAGAGCATAAGGAACAGAGTCTGTGAAGGTTTGGAGGAGAGAAAGGATATGGTACTTAAACATCAGATGGTGAAATGACATGATTCTTCTATTTAAACATGACTTCAGTGTGGATTATTACTGGGAGGGGGCGGGAGGGGGTCCCTGAGGCACACTCATATTCTGGATTGAGGGTTGCCTCAAAGAACAACCCTATATGGGCTAGCCTTAGTCTTTTTTTGCTTATTTTGTTTCCTGATGGCACATGCCTGCATGGCCATGAGATACCCTTCTTTCTGTCAAAGGAATATTCTTCACGACTCTCATCCACCTGACTCAGGTGACGGTGGGAACAGGTTTCCCTGCCCCCACGGGGGCTGGTCTCATTGACCACTGCCCTGAAAATCAAAGGCGATCAGTGTTATTTTTGTGCAGGCAACTCTTGTGAGGCTGTTGCTGGGCCATTTTCTCCTCCATTTTCGCAGTGACATCTGTTGAATTATATCTGACAGTCTGTGTAAAGTGTGTGTACCACTCGGCGCAAGAGGAGAGTGGAAGAGAGGGCAGCTGGAGTGCCTCTTTCTCTCTCTTTCTGCAAAAGTACGGGGTGGATTTTTTTTATGATTCAAATGCATATTTATACTGAAAGTCTTCCTTCTCTTGACAGGAAACACCAAGCTGGAAGGGAGGCATGGAATACGTGGGGAAGGTTTAATGCATCTCCTTGTTCATTTGTGACCAGATTTCCTTAATGCACCCAGTTTTATTCAATGCTCTTAGAAGAGTCTTTGTTGCCAGCGTTATGTTTTGGCAGCGTGTGGCTCGTCTGGGAAACTCCAGTTTATTAGATAGCTGCCTGGGGGATTCTACTGGGAGTGGGTTGACATAACCGAACTTTTTCAGAGAATACAACTAACCAACTAACTCCACCCTAAAATTAACGTGCTACCTTCTGCACCGAATGCTACTGTGAAAATTTGAAGCCATACTAAGGTGGCTTCACTGATCACATAAGATTTTCAAATAATGCAAATTATTTTCATTAACACCTGCAGACATTTATCAGCTCTCGGAGGATACAGAACTCAGATCAAGGGCACATCCTTCTTCATGTCTCTGAGATGCAGGGAGGAGGGTTATCTGGTCTACCAAGGTACCAGGTGACTGGTATATGTTCTCACGTGCCATTCCTTTATTAAAACCATTTTATTTGTTTATGTCCAATACACCAAGTGCCTAAAGAACCCCTCGTGTTCTTTTCTTCTGTTTCATTTTGTTTTGCGTTTTAGCTGGTGAGGAGTGAAGCTGGCCTTGTGGGAAATTACCTTGGTCTCTCAGACAATACACAGCAAGGGCATGTGACTTGGGGAAGGTCACAGCTCTTTAACAAGCTATTTCAAGTGGTTTTTGGGAGAAAGAATAAGGTTCCACCTGCCGAACACTTAGACTGCCTTGGAAATAGGGGGCAGTAGGGTCACATGGGCTTTGGAACCAGCTGCTTGGCTGTGAATATGGGCTGTATGACCTGCTGGTTGTGTGGCCTTGAATGAGTTACTGAACTGGTCTGTGGCTCAATTTCCTCATCTACAAAATGGGGATATTAATAGTACATACTTCATAGGCTGGTTATAAGGATTAAATGAGATACACATGCCAAGCTCGGGAAAAGAGGTACTTATACAGCAAAGTCAGTAATGTAGAAATTTTTAAAAATGAGAAGCCAGTTATCTGTGAGGCTAGACACATTGTTTCTGGTGCCTTTTTTCTTTCTGGTATGTATTTTTCAATCCCAGCTCTCCTTCAGCATCTACGTTTCTTTTCTCAAATCCTTATTGGATTCCACTAAAAAAAATCAAGCAACTGTATTCATCTAATACTGGATAATTCCTTTATAACTGTCTGCTCTCTCCAGTGCTTTGCAAGATGCTAAGGTTGCACAAACAAGTCTCAAGACTTGAAAAAGTGGTTTACATATGACCAGTATACTCTTTGGAAAAATCTTGTGTGATCGGTGACGCCGCCTTAGTTTGGCTTCAAATTTTCACAGTAGCATCCGAAAGGATGGGTTTGTCCATGTGTCAGACAACTTTGTACCACTTGTCCCCAGAAGATAACTGGTGAGCTCCACGTGCTTTTCTCCTTCAGTCTAGAAGTGATTCGACTCTGCTTGAGTTATTAGCACCCTCTTCTCCCATTGTGCTTCGTATCTTGTTACTCATGTCTCGTCTGAGAGGCAATAGGAAGGGTGGCTTTAACTCTTACTGCGAATCATTTCCGTCAGCAAGTGTTCTCTTCCAAGCCGACCAAACCTCTCCATCACCTACTTAAGTAGAAATCCAGGAGGTGCCACTGTCCTCTAACAGAGTGTAAACATTGTGAGGACAGGGTCCCCTCTCTGCTTAAGAAAGATTTGGAAAATGAAGAAATGGAATTCATTCTGAAAAGCTGCCACCTCCTTGTTTAGTACTGAGCAATTTCATCAGCCATGTGCCTCCCTGGGGTCCCACTGAGGTGAAGCAGAAGATTAAACAGAGTCACTAAGGATTATGCTTCCATACTAAAGCTCCCCCCACCCTTTTTTAAATATAAGTGTGTTTCCCTAACAGAGAAGTGGTCACCTCAGTTAGAACGGAGTCTGAGTTAGAACTGATTCATCAAATCCCTCATCCAGTTTGAAAAGAGGTCAAGTCATTGACCACTTCATTAACTCATTATGAATTAAAACAAAGGGTTTATTGAGTTCTTGGGCATTTTAAAATTTAATAACCTCAGAAGGATATTTGGTGGCTGAAACCTCTAGTCATAAAATGAGAGAGCTTTGTCCATTTTTTTGGCTGCTGTATTTTAAAGACAAGCTTTCCCGTTTTTTTTTAATTTTTTTTTTTTTAGGATATCAGATTCTTTTGGTACTTTCTTTCCTTTTCACTCTTCCCCTCCATTTATTTCCCATCCTTCTTTTTCTTTCTCCCTTCCTCCCTTTCTTTTTTACAGAAACGGCAGTCCGTTGTGTATGTTGTTACACCATGATACAGGATACTTTGAACAAACTACCATTATGTTATTTTTTCTGTGCACCTGTTTCTAGGACCATGCTGCTGGTCCCAGTGCGTTGATATGCAGCATTTCTGAAAGATGAGTTTTCACAGGAGGGTGTCAGAGGATGGGATGGTTGCCTGGGCACCTCATTCATTTGCTGTCACCATTGATTCTCTCTTAGAAGCCCTCCTAAGGTGGTAGGTAACTTACCAAAACCACACTTGGGAGTAGCCTCTGGACTTTTCTGCTGACTAACATAGTAATTTTTCCCTGGAGGAAATTTAGAGAAATACCAAAAGCACATAGGGAAAACAGGGAAAAATTGCCTTCTTCCATAACCCTACTGTCCAGAGGATGTTTCTCTGCTGTGCACTATGTTCATGTATATTTGATTGTTGATATTATCACAAATTTGAGATTACACTATATAATTTTTAACCTGTTTTTTCCCACTCAAGTATAGAATATTGACATTTTTCCCTGCTACTGAAAATTCTATTACCATAGTGGCTTTCAGTTATTATTATTATTTTTCCTGTATCCTGCAGTAAGAAATACGTTATATATAATGACCTAGAATAAACACACATGCATTTAAAAGAAATTTCGTGAAACCATGCTTACACTTACTTTGTGTAATTCACTCTGATACTCTTCTATTTAAAAAGATGTCATGGGCCACAAAATCTGGTTTCACGACTCATTAATGATTTGCGACCCACAGTTTGACAGCAGCTCCTTTCCTCCATGAATTTTATTGGCTGTGCAGCGTTCGCTGTGTGGTCTGAGTGTATTGTAACGTATTTAACTGATGTCATACAGGTGGTGGACATTTATATTGCTTCCAGGGTTTCCCTGGTCCTAAAACACGGCAGTAAACAAACGGGCACAGACACACACACATGCACACGCACACGCACAGACACACATTCTCAGGATAAATTCCAGGGCATACCCTGGGTCAAAAGGTGAGCAGTGAATATGATTTTAAAGCTTGCGGCACACATTGCTAAATTTCCCTCCAAGAAGCTTGTATAAATATTTACACTCTCCCCAGCTGTGTCTGCAGATGCCAGGTTCCCCCTGCCCTTACGTGTGAGAACTACATTTTTGAGTTAGAATCTCAGTCACAGATGAAATTCACGGCATCGTTCAGCAGGGAGGGGAGAAAGGCTTTTGGCAGCCATCACGGTCTGCTCTATGACTGAGGATCGCTATTGTGTCTAAATTGTATTCTGTTAATGTCCCGTGCAGCCACTCTGCAGGTGAGGTTTAGCATTCCTAGTTCTCTTGTACGCCACCAAAAAGAAGAGCTCGTTTTAAACATTGCCCAAAGCTCTTTAGATCCCGTGTGTCTTTCCATTGTCCATGGCCCTATGGACCCTTGGATGCTCCCAGGAGGAGTAAAAATGCAGTAACCATGCATCATGCAATTTTCAGGACAGATTTCATTTCAAATGTTCCAGCTCTGCGTTGGTCTACCTATATTTCTTACTTGTCCTTACTTTTGAGTTGGATTGTAGCATCTCTGTAATAACAGGTATGTACCTGCATTGAGAACAACACTACGCTGGGTTCAGTTTGGAGAAATCTCAGTGGCCCAGCAAAAGGCATACACAAGTTGTTGTATTTTTAATGGCAAAAATTGGAAAGCGCCTAAGTGTACATCAGTGGGAGACTGGTTGAGTGAGTTATAGGATATCCACAGAAGAGATGCAATGTGGTTTTCAAAAAGAGTGAGACAGCCGCACTGTGCATGTAGGCAAGGCACCATCTCTAGGGTCTGTTGTAGATGAGAAAAAACAGGCTGCAGAAATGCGTCTGGTGTAAAGCCTTTAAAACCTTACACCTCTCTTTTTCTAAAACCCTATGAGTGTATTACTCCAATTAAAATAGGTGATGAAGAAAAGTAAAGATTAGCAAGTGTCTAAGATATTTTAGAAAAATGTCCATCAGAAAAACCCCTCAGTTGTCTCATTGATACTG